CGCGACGCTGCGCCCCTCGGCGCCTCCTTGGATGCGGAAGCCCTGGTGCTGCCCCCTCGCCTGGCGTTGAACATGCACGCAGCATCCTCTTCTACTTCTTCCCCTCACGAGGACTCGCTGCCCTCCCTGTGCTTGCCTGATGCTTGCGTTGTGTGTCATGGTTTTTCCAGCACACTGGCGTTGTAATAATCTTTTCTCCCCCTTATAGCTGCTTTCTTTACGGGAAGTGACTAGGGGCTTGCCCCTCCCCACCCTTCTCTTACCCTAGTACATTAGCCCCGCGACCGCGTGAAGCCTGGCCCTGGCCATGATATAGTGTATTTAACTACCAGGACCCTCGGCCGTCGCGCGCGGAGCGCGGGGGCGGGCAACCGCGTGGTATGCGCTGTACGCTACTGCATAGGGGGCCGGTCGTTTGCTACACCCTTTTTCCAGGCGCTGACGGGTGCTCCGTGCCGGCGGCTTTAATACCGTGCTTGGGTCCAGTGATCCTGCCCCGATCAGATTTCTATCCATTTACTTGCATCGTAGCATGCATTAAAAATCTGAAATTTACTGATAGATTTGATCGACTCTAAAACATGTTTCTGAATCTTACCCAGCTGCTTATGTATTTACAATGAAAATAAAAGCTAAAATGTTCGCAACCTTCAGATCATCATTTTGACAAGTTACCCTGAATCCTACTAGTTTCTTACAGGGAAAAATTTGAAAAAATTTCAGCTTTATTGTACTCCCCACCACTTTGCCTCAATGGTGGTTACTCAATAAAAGAGCCATCCCAACGATAAGAGCAACCATCACCACCCATGCTGGGGAGATGGTGCGTTCAGGCTGGGCCGTGCCAGTACGTAGGCAACCCAACGTGATGCCGTGTCTTTAGCCGGACACCCAGTCGGCCCGCCGGGGATGGCGGCAGGCGGGTGGACCCGTCCGGTCCGGCCCTGCTTAATGAGAATTGACGGTCGAATCGACGACGATACGACATCGAAACGATGTAAAAATGGTCGAATCGACGTCGATACGATATGGTTTAGATATTAGTTTCGAAAGGGGTGGCTCCCGCTCTGAATGGGGGATGGGCGGCCGGTGGTGGCGCGTGAATTATTG